GGGATTGCTTTTGGGTCAATGAGTCAATGCAATCAACTGGTTTTCCTTAGATAGAAATCAATTTGACTGTCTGATCTGGTGAACTGTAAAGTGCCTCGGGATGACGTGTTGTTAATTGGTGCTACATAAATAAACTGAATTGAATTGAATGGATGGATGGTTTAGATGTACCTCCTGATCCCGCCTCCCCAGCCTTGTTGCGGCGGCGCCTGAGGATCACCTCCAGCTCACTGTCCTTTTTTGCTGGCGGTGAAGGTCCAGATTCCTGGGAGCCTCGGCTGGGGCTCCTCTTCACCGTCTCCTTCAGCAGAACATAAACATCCCAGCATTAACAGAGCACATTCTCACTCGCATGGCGGTGCCTTTATAAGTTTTATTCCTCAGTGACTCATTGGTCAGACTAGTGAAGTGTGCAAAAGAATCTGGGTTAAAAATGTAAAATACATTTAAAACTCAAAGGAAAACTTGGAGAAGAACTGATAAAAAAAAAAAAAAACACTTCAACATAGATTGAAACTAGAAACAGCCCATTTTAAATAGAAATGTCTGAAATAAAACACCAAATAGAAGAGAAAATCTGATTTTACCAGGATGCATTTCAGTTCATCCATGGCGCTCTCCTGTGGCTTCTCCTCACAGGGTGGAGGCTGCAAGGAGAAAATATCGACACACTGTGATTTACTAATGTTCACAAGTTATCATAAGAGCAGCTTATTCTGTAAGAAGTGGCAGAGAAGACACTTTCTGTGTCTTTAAATTGTAAAAAAAAGTGTGACATTTGTGGCAGGTTTTTACATGATTTAACCAGGATAGCAGGAGTTGTTAGGATTCTCTGTTAAGTGACTGCAGGGGGCGGAAGATCTGATTAAAGCAAAACTCAATATACTCACTTTCACTGCTATTCTCTGATGCAGCACAGAAAAAATGAAGACAGAGAGGAAAAAGAAGAAGACAGAGACCTTTCAGAGTCCTACAGGAATTATCAGACATCCTGGTCTTTATAAAAACACAAGGATAACATAAAGATGGAAGAGGAACAAAAAAGACAGGAATCTGTGTTTCTGTGTTTTCCCTGCTTGAAATGTCTTAATTCTTTAGCTAAATAAATTGGCTCAACAGCAACAAACACAAAGTATGACAAAAAGACCAAAATCATTCCCTATTGGAATGATTCCATAGTAGATTGCAGGATGTTGTATAAATTAGTTTTCTATTTAATGTGCCCTTACTTCCCATTGTTTTGAGCTGGTTGTAGGTAATGTATTTTTCTAACTGTACTGTAGAATATGCTCTTTCTGTTACGCAGCAATAATAGCTTTACAGCAGTGCTCCACATTTTTAACTCACAGATTTGTGA